CTTTTGAAAGAATAGAAGTTTCATTCGAGTTGTTATCATGCCGGATCAAAAAAGTAAAAAGCTGTACTAAGAGCCAGCGGACCTGCTCATGGGAGTCAAGCCTGCTCTGTAGTGGGCAGACGTAGCAGGGCCATCTAAAAGAATATAGGAAAAAGAGCCGCTGGAGAAAACCAATTTAGTTGGGTTCTCAATTCCATGGAGTATGCAGTGAGTTTGAATTGACCCGGTTAGCTAGAAAGTTCCTTTCGCTACCGTCCTAAGGTTCCCAGATATTATGGATTTCTAGGGACTTTTTCTTCTTTTTTTTGTCTATTTTCTTTAACCAACGGAGAGGTCTACAGAAAACATATAATCTTATATTTGATAGCTTACTATGTTTATTATCCAGAACAAAGGTGTATTGGCTTACTTCTCTATAGTGGTGCACACACCGATTCCAATGCATGGTTGATCTTGGCATGGTTAATCATGGCCAGAGGTGTGCCCCCCCTCACTTTTGAATAATTACAAATATAGTTATATGGTAGAAGGCCAATACACACGAAAATTGATATATTGCCCCCCTTATTTTTCAAAAAAATTATGCAATGGATTGATTTTTCATTAAGTAGTGGCCCACTATCCCCAAAACCAGTTAAATGATTTTTTTTTCTGATAGGGTATAACGGGAGTGAAAGTACTCACTTATATATTGATTGATAGACAACGATTATATTTGATACATTGTCCCTATTCTCTAAAAAATGTTGCATAACTGGCCTTCATTTCTTTTTTTTTTGGGGTAATTTAGCAGTATGTAATCCAGTAACACAATTTAGATGCAAATGGTATAATGTCCTAGCCCAAAACTTTTTTTTTTTCTCTTTTCCAAGGAACCTATTCTTCAATAAGACGAAAGATGATCTCAACTAATCAAATATATATAATTTTTGGATTTGAAAGAGCATTGTCTTCTAGTTTAATATGATTGTATTGAATTATACAAAATAAAAATTATTTTGTACTTTTTGTCAATATTTGTTAAGGTTAAATGTTCTCGATTTATGTTTCATTTAGTAACTTCATCTTAAATTTTTGTACATTTCCTTCTCCAATTATTCCCTGGAGCACAACAGCTGGGGTAAACCTCGTCGGCTAGATAGCTATAGTAAAGAGTTTAAGGGGGGGAATATATATATATCGCTTTTCCAGGGGGACCGAAAAAAAAGGAAGGAGATATGGAGCCAGTGAGTGGCAACTGGTTCAGCGGTGCTATCAAAAATAGCCTTCTATGTGCTATCAGAGCTACTCGTCCCTTCTCCTTTCCTTTCAGTCAAGGTCTAACCTCGCATAGCTAATGGAAGGGAATACCTTAGAACAGAACCGACTATAAGCCCTGAGAGCCAGCAAGAAAACCTCCCTTACTCAACCTCTGAATTCATAAAAAAAAAAAGCCCTTTCTTCATAATAATAAGGTAAGCATCAAAGCCCAACAACTTGTTGGGAGTAGGGGCTGAAAAGAGCTCTTTGTATAGGTTGGGTTTGCTGGTTTTCGGGAACATTCGACTCCACCAACAAAAAGATTCTTGGATTCCGTCCTTCCCATGCCTCGAACTCCAATGATGCATGCCGCCACCTCCATTATCCGACCGGTCTGCCATACCAATCAAGAGAGAAAGAAATTCTGTCACATTGTTATTGGGTTAGAGAACAACCCGGACTATATAGGTAAAAAAAACCTCACCTTGAATTAAATGACTATCATTCATGGGCCAATGACGCTTGCTACCTGGCTGGCAAATAAGCGAATAGTATTTAGGTATTGCGCTTCTTCGATTGCGCGGTGAAGATAACATTTATCCTCCTTATACAACTTGATGAACCCAGACAAAAAATGTGAGCGCCCTCTAAGCTATAAGGGCGAGCCTTAACTTGTTGAAAACTCAAGTTTTGCCTTGATCGATATGAGAAAGATGCGCTCAAGCATGCGAAGAAAGCCGGCCTTACCTTCTATTATATTAGTAAAGGACGTTTAGGCTTGACTAATAAGATAGAAAGGGCTTTTCTCGCTTCTTGCTTTTGAGCCCTTTTACTAGTACTAGTAAGGTGCTTGTTTCAACCCATAAATTGCTTGATGGAGCCGATAGACTACATGCCATTTTCCTTCACAAGCGAAACCTAGAGGTAAAGCCATATACACCCTTTTCTTAAGATCGCTAGTATAAATGCATTCTACACATCGAGTTAGTAAAGAGGCCAACCTTTTACGCAATAGAAAGAATGCAAAGAACCGAGGTTTTCAAAGGGCAAGGCTCCCCCCCTATCTCTAAAAGGGTTCGACTCCATACTCTTGTGTGCATCCTTTGGCCACCAATCTAGCCTTCAACCTCTCAACTGCTCCATCAACTTTTTGTTGACTTTATAGACCCACTTGTAGGCAACTATTTTTTTCCCTAGAGGAAGAGAGACTCAATCCCAAGTAGCAAACTATTCTAGTGCTACGATCTCTTTCTGCATAGAGCTGCCAGCAGGGTTGAGATGCGGCCTCTGCAAAGGTGTCAGGTTCAAAAAGATGGATGAAATTGCAAAAAAGACTCGTGGGAAGTACACAGAGACTTAGTTGATACAAACCTCTGAATAGGAAAACGAACACGGGTGGATCTATGTACCTCGAGAATGGAAGCTAGAGAACCTAAGTCTGAAGAAGAGTCTTGGTTCGAAGTAGAGGGAGACCACTGAATCAGTTGGCTCAGCTCTGAAAACTTAGTGACGAGAATATGTCTTCACAAACTTGCGAAACTGCCCCTTAAGCTGATCACTCTGGTCACCCGGATCTTGCTGACTCTATTAAATCGGAGAATAGAATTCTGATACTGTCTCACATAAACTTTTTCATAGTTTTTCCCCTAAGGTGAGACAAGGGAACATAATGGCCCACCATCACAGGGAATATCAAAACCCAGAGCTCTGTAGTAAGGCACATATTCGAAAAAGTTGGAATCGTCGTGTAGAAAGATCATTAACACTTATAGCCCTTTTGAGGCGAGGGGTACCCCAACCTCACTCAAGAAAACACACAAAGTGAGATGCAGGGCTCAGTTTGTCTTGTGCAAGGGATGGAATTTGAACAAAGCACGTGCATCCAAATACTCTGAGGTTTGAATAGTCTATTGTTTGAAAGAGAGTAAAATGCCCAAAGATAACGTGTAGAGAAGTCACCAATAATAGGAGCCATCGTCTTCTTACTCAGATAAGCAGCCATCATTAAATTAAGGCATCAGGCTTGATTAGGGATCGTAATAGGGAACTTTCATTCCCAGTAGAAGTCCTCAGCAACTTCTAGGAGATGGCGATTTTTCCATTCTACAACCCCTTACCTTTATGTTAGGGGGACTTGTGGAGGAGTATTTGCACATGAGCTCTGATTGATGAATCAAAGAATTCCATGGTCTGTGAAAGACTTCCAAAAAGCATTAGAGATGAACTCTCCTCCATTTCACTTTATTTGACAGGGGCGGAGAATTCTCATAGATTTCCTATTTGAGAATGAAGAGTCAAAGGGGGTAAGAACATTACGAGAAAAGGCTTGAAACATTGCACTAACTTCACTTTTGCATTTCATCACATAGAGCCGTCTAATTCTAGCGTGATCATCTATGAAGCCGAGAAAATACCGAACTCCAGAGTCAGAAGAGAGAGGAGCCGATCCCTATAGCCCATAGAAAAAGGGGGGATAGGGCTCTAAACATGGCTTTCTATAACTATTAGAAAAAGGGAAGATTGCAGTGCTTTGACAGTTGACTTGTAATGCATATTAAAAATGTTTCTCATTCAGGAGGAAGAGGAGATAATCCAAGAAGCGCCATCTGCTCTAGTCTCTGATCATGTGGATGTCCCAATCTTCTATGTCATGCCTACCATGAAATGTTGTCCACCCCTTTAAGCGTTTGACGACTCATTTGCAGCAGAGAAAGATGAAGAGCAGCCTGTCGATTAGTGGCTCAGGTATCAATGGTGCAGGGAAGATATTCTCAATTACATAATAAAGAGCAAGTACTTGATGTTCATAGAAGTATTCATGTACTTATGTGTTGTTTTCGGGTATTTGAGTCTTTTTTCTCTTTCTTTTTCATTCTTTTATGCCTTAAATAAAGCCTAATCTCGTAGCATTGATTAGCCGGCATAAAGTGACTAAAACTAAGCCTTTTACTAAGCCCCTTTACTATACCAACCTATACAAGGGGCTGCTTTCTTTCTTCTTAGTCAGCTGGTATACAGCCCCTTGTATAGTTAAGCATTTCACACCACAACCTTAGTTACCTTACTTGACAACCAAGCGAAGCGCTTTCTTGTCTTACTTAGCGGGGCTGTCTAAGTTACGGGCATTGCCCGTTGATTTACTGGATTGGTGACTGTACGTACTGACCAGAGTGAGTGTTGTATTTACTGAATGACTGACTTAGCGATCGATGAAGTAAAGTAGTCGTCTGGTCGAAGCCAAAGAGATTAGAGACAGAGCAAACCTTTATCGATCGAAAGAGATAGAGGGCATGGCGCGATGGGTCCAAAGAAAAAAAAAGGGATCTTTAGAAAAGGGTTGATCCCTTCTTATAGCCTTTGGTTGAGGTTAGGTGACTAGTGCAGTCCTAGTCTTTGCTTTTTTGATTTAGTTGGATCCCCATGGAATTGAGAAGTTCAATCTCATCTCAACATAGCCCCCAGCCCTCTCCTTACGATGATTCCAAATCATGGAACCTATGGTCGTATATCATAGGCTAACCGTAGAAGCTTTTCGTGCGGGGGGGTGCTGTGCTCCTCTTCATTTGCTCCTGTTAACGACCACAAAGGCATACATAGAGGGCAGATGAGAGAAAGCGCTCGATGAACGATGATTGAAGATTGTAGCATATTTTTTATAAAGCCTGTCACATATAGATTAGACTACTACATTTTTGAAGCAGAATTCGGCCAGCGCATCGACCTGGTACAAAATGGCCATCTTACTGAATCCGAAAGGTCGACTACGACAAAAACGTAGTTATTCCCCCCTTGTTGAGATAGGGCAATCGTCCTACGAAATCTATGGTTATGTTTTTCCCATGGCCAGGAAGGTATTGTGCTGATAAAGCCCCAACTTCCTGTTGGACGACTTTAACGTGCTGCATAAAGCACACACAACCCATCACTGTTGGACATCTACTTCTATCCTGGGCCAATAAGAATGCCTTTCCAGGTGAGCCAGAGTTTGATCAACTCCAAAGTTTAATCCAACTCTAGTGTCATGAAGGACCGCAAGACGTCTTTCTTTGCCCGACATACTCTGCCGTCTTTGTAGAGTAAGTCATCTAGCCGGCTGTAGCCATCTGCCATCTGCAGTCGGGTCGTCTTCTCCCAGACGCCTTTCGATGTCCCTCCGAGTACTCTGCCGTAAAGTTCCTGAAGTCCAATAAAGTGAGAAAAACAACAATTGCGGCGCTTTACTAATAACATCAAAAGGGGGTCTAGACAGAAAATCTGCAACCGTCGTTGGCCCTTCTTTTCTTGTACTTGATCACCAACTCGAACCGTTGCAGGAACTGAAACTCACTTCTTATGATGCGCCTCCTGAAGCTTGGACTGCATGTATAGATACTGAAGGGGCTTGTTGATCAGAGTGGCCTATTCGTAAAGCGTCTCATTCCCGAGCAAATAGTGCCTCCAGTCTTTCACGGCCAGCACTATCGTGTACATCTCTTTCTCGTATATGGGATAGTTTAAGAGGGTTTTATTGAACATCTCACTGTGGTACGCAACCACTCGGTCGTCTTGTCATAAAATGGCTCCCAAAGGATGAGCAGAAGCGCTCTATTTATGCCTGATTTCGAACGGCTTCTGAACGTCTGGCATGGCCGGAACCGGTGTTTCGCAGACTTTCTCCTTAAGTGCCTGGAATGCACGCTCTGGACCCTCTCTCCATTGAAAGGTCTGTTTCTTTTCTGGGCCCCGAGTAAGATCAACCGGGAGTACTTTTTTATGAATATTTAGTGCGGAGGTAGTTGGTCATGCCGAGGAAACTCCTTACCTCCGTCAGCGACTTGGGGGTTGGCCATTCCCAGACAGACTTCGTCTTCTCAGGATCTATCTTGACTCTGGATGAGCCGATGATGTGCCCCAAGTATACCAGCTCAGCTCCCTCATCCCTTTTTGCTCATAAGTAAGCTCTTCTCCATATGGGCTTTCAGTTGGTGCTCACGTAGAGCTTCTAGAACAGTCTCTACGTGTTTCAGATGCTCCTCCTAGGTCTTGCTATAAACTGGATGTTGTCGTTGTAGACCGTGACGAATTCATCCAATCTAAATAAGGCCTAAGAACATCGTTCATCAGCCGCATAAAGGTTGCAGATGCGTTGACCTTACCGTAATAGGGCCGAATGGCATGATGATCCATTCATATAACCTTGCCTTGTCTTTAACGCAGTCTTCCAATGCCTTCCACCACTTGGTGGTATCCTGACTTTAATTTTATCTTGGTGAAGTAACGGGCTACCTCAACTAGTCAAATAAGAATCAAACATCTATCCTTGGCAAAGGATAGCGATTCTTTACTATGATATTGTTAAGGGCACGATAATCCTAATCCACGCACATGCGCTACTAGCCTTCTTCGGCACCAAGACCCCTTCCTTAGAGATAGGGGGCGAGGCACAAGAGGATGTACTGGGCCAACCATGACCCTTTTTGAGCAGCTCTTTCAAGTGCCGCCTAATCTCCTCATTGGCCAATGTCGACGTCCTGTAACGCCGTTGCTGGGTAAGACTGCTCCCTGTGTGAGTTCAATCGAGTGTGCTCCAAGCTACTACAGGCTTTCAATCCAAATCAGCTACAGCTAAATGAAACCAAAAGCAAAGCTTGAAAGCTCAATTCCTAGCTGCTAGAGCTAAACGTAAGGCTACTACCTTAGCTGTTCTAGTAGCTCCTTTGATTTAGCGTAGGGAGGGTAGAAGCTCTATAGGACAATAGCTTTAGGAGAGGAGCAACTCTCTTGCTTAGGAAGGTATTTAATATAAAAGAATTGCGGATCCTAGATAGCTAAATATAGTAGCTTAGGAGCAGAGCAATTCCATAACTTTAGGAGCCCTAAAATAAGCATAGCTCTTGCTAGTAGTTAGCTTTAGGAGCCATTTGGTGTAGAACCACATAGCTTGCTCCGAAGCTATTGCATTGATAGGCAGGGCTTACCGGTACAATAAAGCAGGCAATTGAATCCTTCCAAAATGTTGCTCTAGAACTCTTTTAGCTTGAGCGAGTGCAATTTATATCATACTTGCTCGCGCAAGTCATATCTTGTGCTCGCTCTAGCAAGGATAGTTCTACAAGGTAATTGCTCAGGCCTTACTAGCTTTGCCTGCTTGGTTGTACAACTACTAAAGTAAGGCTCTTTTGCTATTCTACAGCTTGAAAATGGCTCCTAAAGCTATGGAACCTAAGCTCATAGTAAGAGCCGAACCAAAGCAAGCTAGTAGCCGCTCGCTATGTTATTCGATGTTAAGGCCCCTAAAGCAAGCTATTGAATTGTTCCTAACCAAAGAAAGGAGAGATATAGATTACGTTCATCTCATAAAGATGTTCCTTTTCACTCCTAAATGAAAGCGAAACTATAAGAGAAAAGCATAACTCCTAGCGCAAAAGAGTAGCCACTGCGATGCCTATGCCTCAAGTAAATAAATAAGCTAATAGCAACGACGCGTTATAGCAGCTTTTGATTGAAAGGTAGCTGTAGCTTCAAAGCCAAAAAGGAAGTTTTTCCTGATTTGAAGGTTTCTGCTGTAGCAGCAAAGAAGAAGGCAATTTATGTTGCTAAAATAAGGAGGTTTCATCAATACCAAAGAAGTTGACTTCACTATAAAGGCTAAAGGCTATAGAAGTGCATCACTAGTTTCTATAAAATGAAAGAAATTCAAAAGGCATAGTATATAGAACGGCCGATTACTCCCATTTCCTCTGACTTACGCATTTCCAATCAAATCATGATCCCATCTCGATCAATTTCGCATTGATCAGGGCGGGCGTTCTAGTCCCTAGACGACTTTCTTCAACCGCCCCTGTTCCAACGGCTAAAGAGAATCAAAGTTCAGGTTCTTCCTCTTCCCATTACTCAATAGGGTAATTCCTGACCGCCTAGACACCTTAATCTCAAGGAACCCCACCCCAGTATCATGAACGCAGAGCACCGGTTGTAACAACCGCGATGCTGTTGCGTAACAGAAAGACAGAAATCTATAAAGTATCAACAATCTCTTTTAATCAAGGGTGAGGTTTGGAACCCAGTTATACCATGTGGGAGTCATGGAATAGCATAGCTATGATCAATTGAAGAAGAAAAGAAATGGATCGAATAGGAACTCTCATTAACCTACTTAACTCAGTGGTTAGAGTCTTCCATACAGCATTGGTTCGCGATCCAATAGTAGGGAAGCCCGCCTTTTTATAAGCAGAGGTTCTTGCTCCAAGACGCATTTGGAACAACGGGCGGGCATTTCCATCCATTTCTATAGAGCAAAGGGGAAGCTCGCGGAGCTTTCTCTCCTAGTAAAAAGGGAGACGGGCTTTTATCCCAAACATCTCATTATTGCACGCACAAACAAAAAACAAAAAGAACCACACCCCCTTTATTAGTAAGATAGGGAAAACTAAGGCCTTACCTTTATATACAAAGGGCGCTCCAGCGCTTTACTAATATAATAAATAAAAGGGCTTGAAAGCTTACCTTATTATTATGAAAAAGAGAAAGGGTTTCTTTATAGATTCAGAAGTGAGTAAGGGGGGTTTGCTGGCTAGCTCGTGCAATCAACAAAAAAATCCTTCGCGTTAGTAAGCTAGCTTTGGTTGCTAAGCAAGCCTAGTTCTCCGGGCACTATGGTAGGACGTGGATTGATCATGACGAGAATGGACTTCTCCATAATGTAATAGAAGAGTCACAGTCCAGTTCCCCGGGCTTTCTCCCTTCTCGACCAGACGAAGGAGATATGAATTCCATTCAGGCGGGTAAGGTAAGGTAAGGGCTTGGTTTGACCATGTGTTCTCTCCTGGTCAGATTGGAGGCGAAAACTGGCAAAGTTCATCATTCAGTGGTGGGGTGTTCATAGAAAGAAGGCGTCGCCCAATAAGGGGCAAATTTGGATGGAGTCTCACTCATAGAGGAAGAGTACGCGCGCTAGCGCGCTACGACTTACGCAGTTGATCGGATCAGATTGCCCTTCGGGCAACCAACCAAACCCGGCACATCCAATTCCATTTCGATCAACAACTTGGAGGTATGGCTTAGTGGCTTAAGGCATTGTTTTGCTAAATCGACATACAAGAAGATTGTATCATGGGTTCGAATCCCATTTCCTCCAGCACAGAAATGAAAGGGGCGGGTGAAACTATGTGAGAGAAAGAACCTCTTGGTGGAGTCCAATCCTTGGAGGACAGAATAACACTACTTAGTGACTAGGAGCGGAGAGCCCGTTGCGCGTTGTTTTTGTTTGACCGGCCTATCTTATTTCTATAAGCAAGCTCCCCCCCGCTGTCCAGTCCCTGGACGGCTCTCGGTTCTTGAGCATGTTGGGGGATTAGGCGGCAATTGAAAGAGCTGCTCGAAAGCTTGACGAACAAGCAAAAAAAGCTTATATATTATATTTTCTTTATTAGTCAAGGGCTTTTCCCTTACTAGTAAAGTGGTAAGGTAGGGCGCTATTCGATGAAGAAAATAGACTTTAGGAAAGTGGTTCAGGTAGCTCCGCTGGTTAGAGCAAAGGACTGAAAATCCTTGTGTTAGTGGTTCGAATCCACTTCTAAGCGGGTGAAGGGTCCAAAGGACACGTAGCCGAAAGCGAGTCGGATTTGGAAATTCAAGTGAAAGAGTAAGCCAACAAATGTGAGCGCTCCTGCGCTATACGGCTTTTTGGCTGAGCCCTATCATACATATGGCTTGCTGGAGGCAGATTTTCTAAAAGAAAAGTGTTACTCGGATTGGTTCTCGCGTCCCTGTGCCCAAAAGGATGGGCGAGTTCGATTTGAGTGTTCATCAATCGGGTGGATCTATATGCTCCGGGGTGGTGAGATGAGGTGTAACGCAGTCTGGTCAGCGCATCTGTTTTGGGTACAGAGGGCCATAGGTTCGAATCCTGTCACCTTGATGTGACGCTGAAGTCAGCAAATACTCAAATATGAACATCCATCGACCGTTACCATCTCCTCTGACTCATGACTCGTATATTGACTTTCTATAGCAAGCACACGAGACCTATAGCTAAAGATCATATAGCGCCACAGTATATAAATGAACGGAGGGATGAACTGGATTTGAATATAAGAGAAGTGAAACCTCCTGCCATAAGGAAGGGGAGATCCGTAGTAAGAGCTCCCTCTCCCCCTACTTTCGGCACCTTGCTATTCTTTCAGGGAAACTCCTAAAGTTACGTCTTTCAGTACTGGGACTCAAGTCAAGTAGTTGAGATAAACAATTTGCATTTTTTCAGGTGCCCTTAATGAAGTTCCTTTTGTCCTATAGATTCGTTCTAAAGGTCAGTGGTTCAAGTCAATAAGCGAGGAGGCCCTTCTCACTCAAGCTCAAGCATTTACTTTTCTAGTTAGAGACCAACGCCTTGGGGCTAACGTGGGATCCACTCAAGGACCTACCGGTTTAGGTAAATATTTAATGCGTTCCCCCACTAGAGAAGTCATTTTTGGAGGAGAAACTATGCGCTTTTCAAAAAAGGTCAGAAGAAATGCCCCTATTAGTAAAGGTTTCAAATATATATATTTATATATTACCGACTGGCTGGTTTTATGCAAAAAAGACAAAACTGGATTGGATTTCCACTCATAAGGAAGGAAGGTTAGATATCTTTGACAGGGTTGTATTTTTGGTGAAAATAGGATGGTGTTCAAACTCCCGAAATGCAGTCTAGACAGCGGGCCATCCCCTTTCTGACTGGATTGACTCGGGGAAGGGTCAATCTCCTCTGGAGTGTGCTTCACAGCCATTCATTCATCCTGACCAAATAGTAGAATCTATCTCTCAGCGATTCTTTTCTCCACTAATCACCCCTTCCCAACCAGCCCGCCCGATCGATCTTGTAAGATCGGCTAATTTAAAGGGCTTAATCTGGTTCAAAGTTGTCAGAATGAATCGTTTGCTTTATCGAAAAAAGCTTTCTTAGGGGGTCTTGGTTGGCCCCCTATTTTCAACCATTATAGCTGGCGACGACCAGTTTTGCGCGATACGGACGGACACGAGTAAGAGCCCAGGCAGCAGAAATACAAAAGAGAAAAGCAAAGATTCCCGACCTAGAGCATGTTATTGACTCAACCACAAATTTGTAAGCTTGCTTACTCTCAACCACTAGTTAGAAGGAAATCCCTTGACTTCGCTTATGCCCTTATCTTATGCAGTAAAGAAAGCAAGTGAGGCGGGCTAAGATTCCATTCGAAGTAACGTAACAGGATTTGATCTTGCACCATCTTCAACTCTTCTCGGGATTCGGAGTTTTTCGAGAAAAGGTCCCATCCTTCAATATCATGATTGGGTCGACCAGGCCAGATCATGAGTGAAATATCATGATCGGGTTGACCAGGGCAGATCATGAGTGAATAGAAAATCGAAAATGTATATAGTTTTTCCAACTGAAATACTTGGAATAATTCTACCACTTCTACTAGGAGTAGCCTTTTTAGTGCTGCCTGATGTAGTGGGATCGTTTGGATTGTTACAACCTCTAGCAGATGGTTTGAAATTGATTCTAAAAGAACCTATTTCACCAAGTAGTGCTAATTTCTCCCTTTTTAGAATGGCTCCAGTGGCTACATTTATGTTAAGTCTGATCGCTCGGGCTATTGTACCTTTTGATTATGGTATGGTATTGTCAGATCCGAACATAGGGCTACTTTATTTGTTTGCCATATCTTCGTTAGGTGTTTATGGAATTATTAGAGCAGGTCGGTCTAGTAATTAGGGGGTGGCCGTTCGGTCACCTATGATACTAGGACCAATAGGTAAAAAATGGGTTTGTGCCACAGGTGTTAAACGATCTACTCTACATAGGTGTGGGCTTATAGGGCTAGGCTCAAAAACCCTTTCTTTCATTCATCCATAGGACCCTGGTCGGTCACTTTTCTGGGCCGGGATCAATAAGTGGAAGTCATAAAAAAGAGATCTTTCTCTTCGCACCTCAGATCAAGAGGAAGGGTAGCTTGTCAAGCTGGCCTAGAATATTTATATCTTTCTATGATTATTATTACATATAATAATCATAGAAAGATATAAATCAAAAGATTCGATGTCTTTTAACCGGCTGTTCTTCTTTGTCAACGCTACTAAGGATATATAGGTTCGCCTACTTCACTTATGAAAGATAATGAGAATGGGTTATTCAAAAAGGAAAAGGCGCTACTTAGCCCTACATTAGTAGAAGTAAGCGGCTGAGTTAGCCTACTATACCCTACTAATGTATTGTATAGTAGGGTATAGTAGGCAAGCGAGTTAGCGAAGAGGCTTAGGCTATTAGAAAAGAGAGTGTCGGTGCGTAGCCTTCATTCTACTACGGAAAGGTTACGAAGTTAGGAGAGTCAAGGGGGAACGCCATACCTACATAGAAGACCCGCTGTTCACTGACGTTTGAAGGTCTAACCTTTCGCTTCCCTACTGAAAAGGGACAAAGCTGCTTTGCACCACTGATAGACTACTTAAGATTCCATTCAAAAGGCCCCACTTGGTTTCGCAAGCCTTTGTCATTGTCAGTCAACTAAGTAGGGCCTGAGGCCCCCTGCAAATTTGTAAATCTGAGGAGCATCCCGCAACAAAAGGATGGTCCCCTATGCATTTCATTCTTTCCAGAAGGGAAATCAAAAGTACCCCCCATCATAGTGAACCTCTCCTTGTGATCGGGATGAGGTAGATGCCTCCCAGCCAAGGGGCGGATCGAATCAGAATTTCCTTATGTAGCCACCGACCTACAGTTATCCTTAAAATTCTGTGCTTGGTGGAGAAGAAGCGAACAAAGGTACACTCGCTTGCTGTCTTGTTCTCTGTCGCGAACTGGGATCGCTTGCCAACTAGGTCAGATTGGAGGAAGATTGTATGAGAAAATATTACCCATTTTCGGGGACAAGGGGCAGAATGACCTCTCGATCTACTTAATGCAGCCCAGGAAGAAAAACGTCATCTAGGCGTTCCCTATTGCTCCGATCTCCCCTACGCCTAGGACGTTGTCTGGGCCAAGAGCCATAGTTAGTTGTTGTTTCCATTTTGTTGTTTTTTTTCTCGTTGTTGATACCGGCAAGACCCAGCCAGATGATGTCTGCTAGTTGGTAATTAGAGGACTCTTAGTTCCTGCATACCTAAAAGGGGGCGCTGGTTAAAAAACAATCATTTGATTTAGTTTCTTGCTCTCCCTTAGCAGCGGGAAAGTAGTTTATCTATTTGCCTAGCTTTGGTAGATTTCCCCTAATGCAATCCATAGAAATTCCACGAATCCCTTGGTGGATAAATCCGATGACTCAGC